TGTTCTCTCTCTCTCTCTCTCTCTCTCTCTCTCTCTCTCTCTCTCTCTCTCTCTCTCTCTGTGTGTGTGTGTGTGTGTGTGTGTGTGTGTGTGTGTGTGTGTGTGTGTGTGTGTGTGCAGTTCTCTAAACTGTGCATCACTATTTTTAGTGTCCTTAATTAGTTTTGGAAGACTCATGGCTATTGTTTTTTTTTTTTTTTTCAACTATTCTGTCTTGTTTTCTCTTTGATTTTCCTGTTATTAAAACTACAAATGTGTTAAGACATTTCACTGTTTCGGTTGGGTTTCTTGGTAATTAGGTTTTCTGATGTTTTCCTGGGATGTTTTGCATCAACTATTTAAAAACATTCCATTTCTCCATTGCTGAATCTTTGATTCCTGGCATTTACATTTTGTTCTTTCAAATAGCTTTTATCTCTTTGCCAAAATTTCCTCTGTAAACTTTCATCTTTTCTGCCTTTTCCATCAGAATCTTCAAGCCATTAAAGTTATATTAAGTGCTTCAACTCTCAGTGGATCCCATCATTTTAATTCTATATTGCTAATAATCTATTGTTAACTAGTTATTCTGACAGGAATAAATGTTTCTGTCTCTCTTTAATGAAGAATAAGTGATCACTAGGTCTTCATTAAGATTTGTTCATTCATTGAGTTTCATTAAATTTTCTCTTATTGAGACACTGTACTGACTACACTTCTAGCTTGGGGCCACTATATAGACTCAGAATGATAGGTTTCCAAAAGAGCCTCAGCCATAAAATAGGCTTGGGAAAATGTGGCAACTGCCAATGAAATCTTATTTCAGAAATTCAGTTAGTGATAAAGGCAATGATTTTAGAGTGATTGCAGTGTAAGCTAAATTTATATACCCAATCATTAAGCCATGCTAATTACATACTAATTATACTACAACTGCAAAATAAAATGTTGACATGTTAAGATGCATCTTGAGGAAATTTTGACATAATTTTATAATTTTAAGGAGATCCACTTAACTAACACCATTTTTTTCTGTTTGGTTACATCACAAGGGATTTTAGTGGCTAACAAAGTTAGGCATGATTATTCTGGGAAATGATGGAAATAAGGTGGGAGAAAATAAAATAAATTCAGAAATGTAGAGATCATCTCAAAATGAGGTCCCATCCACCCTATAGAACTCTGAATGTGGGCAATAATGAAACCAATAACTCAAGAAATGCCTCTGGGAATTTCCCCAGAATTCTCTAATATATGTAAACAGAATGACACAAATGCTTAACATACATTACAATTTTTATAAAGCATTACATCTGTTATTATATAATGTCCTAATTAAAACCCAGTATGCCACCCAAGGATCATAAAAGAAGTCGTGCAACATGTGGCCCAAACTGTCTTGAACATTTAAGCAGTTGAGCAAGAGTTGGAAAAAGCAAGACATGGACAATGTGTATTTCTATTCTTTCTTAAGGATTCAGCAGCAACCATAGTCTTATCTAACAAACTTGGAATTTTCTCATTAACTATGTACATAGCATAAAATTAGTGCATATATATATATATATATATATCACAAAAATATTGGTTATAAAAAATAAATATAATTATGGAAATAATTATAAAAAGTTAAGATGTAACTATAAACAGTTTTTAACACACCTCAGGTATATTAATCATTTAAATATTCATTTCAAATAGATAAAGGATTTAATATTATTTTTCTTGGTAAAACACATCAGCTTGGATACTTCTATTTTTCACATTAAGAACTCAGGATAATGTGGCAATGTTGTCTTTGTATAGAGATATTTTGTAAGAATGGAGATGTTTTACTTTTTGAAGGGAAAAGCTACAAATTTTAACAATAAAGCAATTAGAGATCTGCTGTTGTTGTTGTGTCCCTTCCCCCCAAAATGTATATTCCTTCATTCTTAGGTGACATAAAACATGAGATAATTAGAGGTCTAATATGCCAATGGCAAAAAAAATTGAAAGTGAGAATTTTTTTCAGGTAGATGATAGAAGTCTCTCATTGAGTCCATAGATGCAAACTCTTAATAAGTTATCCACAATGTGACTACTTAAAACAATTCCATTTCCTGACAGGTCCTCCAAAAGAGATTAATTGCAAAAGATGTTCTTGAGTTGCAAAGTGAATTTACTTCCATATAAAGAAAATTTAGTTAGAAATTGGTTAATTGCTGGAAAAGAGAAAAACAAATGAATGGGCTTTAGTGCCATCCCTATGAAGCCATGTTGGCAGTAGTTAAATATCAGGACAACCTTTCGGTTGAGTGATTTTCTTGTCACACTAGTAAAACCACAGGTTTTTCTCTAAATTAATTTAAAAGACACAGTATACTTTTTGTAAAACAAATTCTACTATTCATGTTCACAGGGTCTATCAAAATGAAGCTACTCCTTTGGGCCTGCCTCATGTGTGTTGCTTTTGCAAAGAGGGTAAGTAACTGGACTCTCAGTATCAGTAGCATTGGTTATAAATATCAACTAAGGGTTGGCAAGAAGTCATACAGAAAGTGAAGTGAGTACAGCACTTGTAAAGTCAGCAGGGAGACAAGCTGTGGGCATAAATTTGGCTTGGTCAAAATCTTGACATGAAATTTCCAAAATCAAAACAATAGGTTCTAAAACATGGAACAGATCAACAGCTTGGAGAAGGGGTTAGCTCAGAAATAGGGAGCCAGAAGGTGAAGCTTTATAGAGACTTATTCTCATATATAAAGATATATATATATATATATATATATATATATATATATAGAAATTTCCAAAATCAAAACAATAGGTTCTAAAACATGGAACAGATCAATATATATATATATGGTTTCTCCAGCAGTGAAATAACTATGGGATATGAGAATCAATGAGGCTCTAGATCTTTTTTTTCATACAAAATCCCACTATGTAGTCCTGGGTTGACTGCAACTCCCTATGGAGACCAACCTGGCCTCAAACTCAGGGATTTGCCTGCCTTTGCCTTCTGGATGCTGGGACTAAATGTGTGGGCTACCAATACCTGGCCGGAAAGCAAAGTTAACACTAGAGAATGGGTGTGTTAAATTTTCTCTTTGGGGATCAGGAACATTCACTCCAAGTAATTGCTTGGAATACCAAATAAGATAACTACTGAAAGTACTGATCAAAATTTCTAAGATGGGCAGAAATTCAGACATGATGCTTCTAATTATTATTAGCATCTTAAATAAATTTCACAATATTAGTATGTCCCTTTAATGTACCTAAATTAATTTCTAATTCTTAAGACAGTATATGTTGAGTTTCCTAAAATAGTTTTTATTCTTTAGGGTACCTTACCTGTGATGAATTCATAAGACATAATGAAGCTTCACTAGAAAAACAATGCATAGATTTACAAAGAGTGGCAATAGACCTGCCCTCACCAACACACAGCAACACCTGGGTGATAAAAGAGACAAATAAAAGCAACACGTATAGATAACAGCCAGATGACCTTTTATATGGCAAAGATTTTCCTGCATACACAATGTTGCAAACTGAATTCTATTTGGCCAAAATAAAACTTTGCTGTCCCACATATCATAATGATTATGATGACAAAGCTACTCAATTCAGACCAGTAACTCATATTAACAAAAAATTATAAGGTTATGCAAATTCCTCAGTAACAGGAAACTTGAATGCAGGTGTTCTCAATTAAGTAACCACCTTAAAATACTTTTCTTATTTGTTTTAGAGGCGGTATCCCTTCATTCATAAGGTAAAAGCCTTTCAATTTCTATATTAAATATATCTGTTTTATCATTAAAATGTATTTGTATTTAAATATTCTCATTTCTCAGCAATGCAATTGACTCTAATTGTTTTTAAAATATTTATTATATTAATTTCTTCACATTAGATAACAAGGAAGGTATACTTGTGATAAACATATTTACAAGCAAGCCTTCATTTCCGATGACCAGAGGCATGAAATGCACTCCTCATATGGTGTAGTACAAGTTTGTCCTGATTTAACTTCATGCCTCTATGATAGTTGTTAATTTGTACTTAAGTAATGTAACCAATGAGACAATGTTGACATGAGATATTAGAACAGAAAACATGAGATTCTGAGCAACTATATGCGCAATTATATATTTTGTTTTTATATGGGTTGTGTTTTCTTTTAAAGAAGAGTTGATAAAGATCTCACGTAGGCCAGGATGGCCTCAATCTCCTTGTGTTCTGAACATGTTGTTTAATTTTGATCCTTCAGCCTCAAATTCTGATGGCAAATGTGTTAGCATAAAGTGACAAATGTTCTTACTCATAAGTACGTTACATATTGATAGGAAAGTATAATAAAGCAAAACCAAAAGAAATGCCTGGGTTGTAAATGCTTTCAAATAAAAACAATTAAACTTGTAGCAAATCAGTTTAAAACATTTCAAACTTTTCAAAACGACAGAGCATTATATGTTATTTTTAATTTTTCAGTTAACAACCATCAGATTCTACAGTACTTTAACCTGTAATAAAAAAATTGATTTTTGCCCCTGGGCCTATCCAGGGACATTATTTCTTTGCATATCTCGTACCTTAGGTAATATGTAAAAAGTCTATTGAAAGACTCTAAGATTAGTAATCCTAGAAAATCAATCTAAAATTGGAAAGCAATACTAAATTTTAAATGGAAAGTTTGACTGACTACAGGTGTAGTATTCCAGGCATCTGAAAAAGAAATCTGGCTGCATTTTGTAATAGCTAGAATCCCAATGCCTACAACCAGCATACCACAAAGCAAACACTCTGTGTGTGTGTGTGTGTGTGTGTGTGTGTGTGTGTGTGTGCATACATATAAAGAAGTAATACTATTCAAGCAAAATCTTAGAATACTTCAAAGGTACTGAAAAAATGTACATTTACTGAGAAGCTATACTGAAAGGCTTGTTTCATAACTAAGGATTTTTAGTAAGCACAAATGAGGACATAATATGGCTATCTGTTGTAAAGAAGGAACTAGATTTAAAAAAATGAGTAAAAAGTTTTGGCTATGGTACTTGATTGTGAATATGAAATTTAAGTGGCAGGATAGAAACACTGGGACTGTGTAGACAGAGTATTGAACATCCACAATTTTCTGGGTATAGGTGGTTATATTCATGTGTTCGTAGGGGGCTGTGCAGGTGTATGAGGGTGTGTGTATACATGTGTGGAGAACAGAAGTTGAAGTTGGTGTCTTACTCAGTTGCTCTCTCCCTTATATTTCAAGTCAATGTTTCTTCTCTTACTCATTCATAGATTAGGCAAGGCTGACTGGCCAACAAAATGTGGATATCCTCCTACCTTAACATCCCACTCTGCCCACCCCCCAAACAGAGATTAGAGGTGCATACCTCTGTGTCTGGCTTTTACGAAAAATAATTCCACACATATAACATTTTTATTTTTACTAGTTCTTTGAGAGTTTTGACTTTCATGCAATATTTAAGCTATATTTACCCCCTCTTTCCCCAACTCTATTATGTCTGGCATTTTTGTGAGCATTGGAGATATAAGGAGATTTGCAGCCTAAGCCATCTCCCCTGCCCTGAATATCATATCGCTCTTGAAGTTTTATTTATTTATATAACATTTCTGTTACTTTTGAATTTTTCATACAATATTATTTTTGATCACATTCTTTCTCCTTTCCCAAGCCCCTCCAGAGTCTCCCCCACCTCCCTGCCCACCCAACTTCATATTCTTTCTCTCTCTCAAACCCCCCCAAAAAACCAGAAAGACAGGAAAACAAAACAAGAAAAAAACATGAAGACAAAAAACACCAAGCAATAACAAAAGAAAAGAACACACAAAAAAACATGTCTGTTTGGTGTTGATACACTCCTCCTGAGCATGAGGCCTGCCCTGGAGTGTGTCACCTCATCAGAGAAAGCCAATTTTTCCTGCTAGCTGCTGGTATCAATTGCAAATAGCTTCTTAGTTAGCAGTGGGACTTTGTACCCACTTCCTCTTCTCTGCCTTGGGATTGTGTCTGGTTTGAATTGGTGAAGGTCTTTTGCACGAATGCAGTCTTTGTGAGTTCATATGCGGATCAATCTTGTATCTCGAAGATGCTGTTTCCTTGGAGTCATTCACCACCTCTGGCTCTTTCTGTGTCCTCACATTTAATGATCCCTGAAACTTGAGTCAAAGAATCTGACAAAGACATTTCTTTTAAGGCTGAGTGCTCTGAGGTTTCTCACTGTCTGCACGTTGTCCAATGTGGGGCTCTGTGTTAATTGCCATCTACTGCCAAAAGAAGCTTCGCTGATGATGACTGAGCAATGTGCTGATCTATGGGTATAGCAGTATGTCATTAAAAGTCATTTCATTGCTATGTCCATTTATCAGAATAGTAGTAGTAGATCTGCATCTCATCCCAGCCCACTCCACTCCTAGCCATTGTCTCACTGACCCTCAGGTTCTTCTCTCACTAACATTGCCACATGTAAAGAATGTTTACTGAAAGTCAGGCATTATGGCACATCCCTATGGTCTCAGAACACAAGAGATCAACCCAGGTGGATTGCCATAATTTTGAGATCAGCATGAATATATACCAAGTACCAGGCATAAGGCCACATAGCAAGATACTGCCTCTAAAGAAAAATAACAATAAGATTATACAAAGTTATAGGAAAGCTAAAAATAGGACAACCATCCATAGCTCTTAAAAAAGAAAATTCCAAAAACTTCACTACTCACAACCCCTCCAATTGTAAGCAGAGATTTGAAGTGTTACTATTTCAATGACAACAACTTTAAAACAAATTTCTTCTTTGTTTCAGAAATCACCCATGCACAGTGAAGAGGTAAATTGTATTCACATCTATAATTAAATATTCTAATATATAGCTTATACTGATTTTTCTATAAGATATCATTTTCCAATCAAATAATGATAAATAATTCAGTTTTATTGTTTTTCCTGGAGGGACTAGGGGGTTCATTTAGGAAAATGTTTACTTCCTTTCATCTCATGGCCCACTTATGTATGCATATGTATCCATATCCATGCTTACACATCATAAAACTTTATCCAAACTGGCACCCTGCATGTCATCATGCTTGCTTGTTAGATTCAATGGGTTCAACCTTATAGAAAGTGTAGTTGAGAAGGAAGGCAGGACTTTGGGAAAATGTGAGAACTGAATCTACCCACAGGGAGTCTATTATTAGTAAAACACCTCGGACAGGATCTAAACAAAACAACTCTGGGCATAAATTAGTTATGTGCAGTTTGTCAAAATGTTTTAATTATAATCAAGCTGTAGCTATAGAGCATATCAAAATTCTAAGATCCTGATTTGTAAACCAGGGGTGGTCAGCTCATAAAAATATTTATGATATGATATAAAATATTACATATGCATGAGTAAGGAGCATTCCTATTTTCTGTGAATTCTCACATAGCTCTGTGACCTGAGCTTCCTGACAATCTTCCAGAATGGGAGAGACAAATTTAAAACAGCCAGAGGAACAAGTGAGAACTGGAAAATTGGATAAAAAATTCATGATCAATGTTATTAAAATACTTGGTTAGGATAGAAATAGCAGTGGGAAATTATATATAAAAAGCCAAGTTCCTTTTCCATATTTCCTACCCACCCTTCTGATAACAAATCCTTGAAGGAACTGAAAATTTGATAAAATAGGACAAATTTAGGACACATGTCACAAACAATTCTATACCTGGAAGAGGAGCATGGGAATGAGGGCCTCACGTGGGAAAATTTAGAGACAAGGAGGGTGCCAAGTGCAGCAGGCATGGAGAAAGAACATGGTGTATAGAAGCCTGGAAGAACCAGTTCTCTCATCCTATGTCAGTCTTCTAAAATGCACTCATGCATACCTCTTCTATGCCCATCCTAGCCTACGCAGTGTATTCTGAAGGAGGCAACACTCATTTGCTTATTTGCAAAGTGATTCTCCTCCAGCTTGGATTTACTTGATTTTCTCAACTATTTTCATTTCAATTATTATGGATGCACATTAGTTATCAAGAAAGACTAAATGGGTGTTCTCTTAAAAACATTACTTATATATGACCACAGTCATAACAGAAATAGGAATATAAGCAATCAACTACAATGAATTCCTTTCCTTCTGTCTAGGATTACTTTGGACATCGCTACCCACTTAATCCATCTCTCAATATCCCATACGGCTTATGGAATGATAATCTGCCACCTTTTCTTTTGCCTCCTGTTGACAATCACCAAGGAAATACTATCACCAAATTCGCTGGAAATCCCGATCTTGACAGAGGGCTATCTCCATACCCTTGGATTCTTACTTCTAAAGTTCACTACATATACCCAAACCCTAGTTATCCCTCGGATGCTTCGATGAATGGTCCCGCAGCAGTAACTGCCCCTATCCCTCCTCCCCCGCCCCCTCCTTCCAGGCCATATCCCTTTATCATACCTCCAAAGATTTCTGTTTCATCCATGGCACCTGAGGCTCCAGGAGCCCAGGCAGTACCTGCTGTAGGTGAGGGTCTGGTACCGGAGTTTGCTCCCGTACCAGACAAAGGTATTTCAGGCCTGCCTACTGCAGCCAAACTTGGACCACAGCCACCACCTCCTGAACCCAAACCTCCGGCAGCAGAGCCTGCTCCAGCCCAGTTTGCTGCATCTGAACCTGCTCCAGTCCAGTTTGGTGCGCCTGAACCTGTTCCTATCCCTGAGTCTCCTGCAGGCCACCCCATAGCACCTGAACCCGCTCCACCCCCAGTTGTGGCTGCAGCCCAGGCTATATCAGCTGAATCCCCTGCAGGCCAGTCTGCTGAAAACAAACCTGTTTCGGGAGAGCCTTCTATGGTCCAATCTATACCACTTGAGCCTGCTCCAAGCCAGTCTGCTGAAGTCAAACCTCCTGGAGCTGACCCTGCTGCAGCCCAACCTCCTCCAGCTGAACCTGTGGCAAGCCAGCCTCTTGCAGGAAAAATTGTTACATCTGAGCCTACTGAAGTGAAATCTGAAGGTGCTGAGCCTGCTGAGCCCAAACCTGGTAGCCAAGAACCGCAGCCTTTCCTTTTTTACCAGGTAAGTTACCTACTTTACCACTGAGTGCGTGGGACTTGTAGGAGGGAAGACACACAACTTCTGTACAAGAAACACAACCACTTCAGGATTAGGAGCTGCTGTTTATTTAGTCGATAAATAAATGGCAGGTATTGAAAATGTATAGGGCATTTGCATATACCCATGATAAGAATTTTCAGAATTTGAATAGTTGAATATATCGACTAGAACCCCAATGCCTTTTGTTCTCATATCTCACATCTTTAATAAACTTCTTGTTAGATAAAAAGGATGAGTCAGGGCCAGAGAGATAGCCCAGTGGTTGAAAGCACTTATTCTTGCAGAGGACCCAGGTTCAATTCCCAGCAGCCACCTGCAGGCTCGCATCCATCTGTAACTAAGTCTAGGGGATCCAGCATCTTCTTATGGACTCCACATGCCCCAGGCACACATGTGGGGTGTGTGTGTGTGTGTGTGTGTGTGTGTGTGTGTGTTATGCATATATACAATACAGGCAAACACTCATAACACATATAATAAAATTGTAAGCTGATTAGCTGAAAAAATTTACTGTGTCATACATGCACACACGCAAGCACCCCAATGCACAAACACTTAACATTAACCTATAATGTGTCTCCCTGGAACTCTGTGGAGACAAAATGCTAAAACGATTACTGGTTCACTTTTTCTGCTTCCTGTGAAGAATAACTCCTCTTCACAGCATGAAATTCAAATCATAAACTCTTCCTCATAATTATTTTTGTTTTCATGCAGGGTCTCATTATGTAACCAAGGGTAGCCTGGAACTCAAAGGGATCTTCCTATCTATGTCTCCTGAATGCTAGGGCTAAAGGTGTGCACCACCACACCCAGCCCCCCTTTTAAAATTCTAAGCACTTATTTTGTTTCAGACAAGAGAGAAAATCCATTTTCTGATACTCTTTTTGTCTAGAAGCAGATTTCTCTAGGCCTTTTATAAAGTGTCTTAGAGTTGCTCTATTATTTAGGAAAGAAAGCCCTGGTGCTACCAAAAGAAGTAAATTTTAATCATAAATGAGTATCCTTTTTCTTTTTAGGTAGATAAGTGAGATCTTCTAGAGAGGAGCATTATTCACTTGTTTCTGTAAGTCGTGCGTAACAATGATATATTGATGTTGTGCATTAACTATACTACATCTCTGCTGAAACTATCTTTGGATATATATGAAAGTGAGACAGTGGGGTGTGGTTGCTGGTTATGTGTGCCAGAAGTTAAGACATGTTGAATTTGTGGACTGTGTGAGATTTTCAGGCTGTTTTGAGACTAGGAAGTTCTTCTTTAAACTCATCCAAATTGATTATGACCTGACTATCCTGTATAATAGTCCTCAATTTAGGAACAAGCTTCAATAAATGGAAAGGAGACTAAACTATAAAAGAAGTGCTGCCCATTAAAGACCAGTGGGCCATTTTGTATGCTATCTTTCAGCTTCCATTCTTACCCAGTTTCTACCCCCCAATCATTATCCTAAGAATAAAGGCCCTGGCCACAATGCTCAGTTGAGCATCTCCCCACTTCCTATTTAATCAAAAATAATTAAAATAAATAAAATAATTTATTTCCAAGCCCTTGTTCCTATGTCCTACCCCAAAACTGCTACAAGGATATGATTATAAATGTTTCCTGGACAAGGAAATGGTGGGACATTATTTTGTTTGTCAGTCAAATCAAAATTCTAAAAACTGAGGTGGTGTCAGTCCCTAAAATTATATTGAAAATCAAATGTGATGGCAGTTAATACTATTAGTGATTCACCCTAACAATAGTCATTCCTAAGGACATAAACATTTTCAGTTTTTACTTAAACCTTGACCACTGCTAAATTATTTGACATTGTTATTTTATTAGTATTTAAGATGAGAGATTGTAGGGAAAGCTGTAGCCAGCTCCTAAGTAGGCGTGGCTACAGCTTCCCCTACAAGAGACCTATTAGTGAGTAATACCAAGTATTAGATACATTTAACAATTTTCACAGGCATGTGTTTCAAGTTTATTACATGTAAGATACTCAATGAGAAATAAGAGGGAAAATGTTGCCTTTCTGGAAAGTCTATTAAAATGGAGAAAGAATTCTTCTTTAAATTATGCAATATCAAGAGACAGTGTTGATCTAAATCAATAACCACTCAAGCCTGTGATTTTTGATACCAATATATACATTCAAATAAACTGTAATATTGCATTAATTAAACTGTTATGTTTATTTTAATTCCTATAAGAATATATAATTGTAAGAATGCTGTGTCTGTAAGAAGTTTGACAAATCGTTATACAAAACTGTTATTTTTTTTCTACAGATGCTGATGAACAAGTAAGAGAAACGCAAATGTTCTTTCTTTTCTCAACAAATAGTTTACTATGTTTTATTAAAACTATCAGTCTCTCCATATTGATTGGTTTTGCTGGATTTCTTTAGATCTTATAACAAAATAAAAATGATGGTATGCTTTGTTTTAGGTTCAAATTATAAAATGTATACTTCACAGGTATGGCTAAAGAAATTTAAACAACTTTTAAAATGTGATAATAGTAAGTGCCTTCTTTCAAAGAGTCTCTAAGACAAATATGTTTCTGTCTTTTGTGTCTAAATACTTTCTCCTAGAAACCATTTTGACCACTGACTTTCCACCCACCACAATTTCCTTTGCTTCAAAATGTCAGCAATTTTTCTGAATAATGCATTTAATACTAACTTACAGTGCATTCTGAGTGCCAAGAGCCATTCCATGTTCCTTACAAACATTGAGCCCTGATAGTAATCACACGAATAGATACTGTTCTATTTCAAAGACAATGACTTGCCAACAATTAAGTTGCTATGAAGATGAAGTGCAATAAGGCAAAAAAGCATACCAAAACCTCATGGGTTTTGTTACTGGAAAGGAAAAGTGGAATTAATGTGCTGTTGAACAGTGATTTGAGTAGTTTTTTTTCACTGTTGCAACAAATTACCAAAATTCACAGTTTGAAATGAAAGAAATCTATTTTCTCATGATATGAAGGCCACAAGTTTGAAATTAATTTTACTAAGTTAAAAATCAGTGTGTTGGCAATATGTGCCCCAAATGGCCCTGAGGAAGTTTCTTCCAGTCTCTGCTTCAGGCTGTCATTATTTTTACTCATAACCATCTTAAGTTATTTGATATACAGTTACATCAACCCAGTGGAATAAAAGGGAGGCTGAAAAATACTAGGTTACTGAATAAACAGCAAATCTCAGCATGTCTTACCTTACTAGTTAAAATCTACCCAGTTCAGTCTTCCTTCCCCAAATATAACACAGTCACTTCCTTGCCATATCAGAAAAAAATTCAAGGTCCTCACCCTTAACTGCATCAGAATGAGACATTTCCTGCTCCTGAATATTGAGCAAAAAAAAATACAAGTTACCTGTACCCTAAATGGTGGTCCAATGGTAAGCCTGGGGCAGGATAACTGAAATATTCCCCATTAGAAAATTACCACCACTGCAGCATTCCAAACTGAAACAGGAAAGCCAAGGTAGAGAGAGAAATGTGCATGATTTTCTTCTCTGCAAATAAGTGTTGTAGCCATGCTTTTCTCCAATAATGCTAGAAGTGTGTTTCCCATCCTTAAACTACCAAAGTCTACCTCCTGCTTGGAAGGCTGGAGCCCCAGGATTTATTTTGTGGACAGTAGAACTATGATTAGCACAAGAGCAGAGTGGGGTTGGCATAAATAAATAGTATTCAGAAGGTATAGATATTCAGTTAGAAGATAAGTACTGGAGACAAAACTGCAGCTAGATGGCCAGGTACAGGAATTTACGGAGAGGGTATACTTTAAGGATAGTCACTCCCTAAAACACAGCTTTTGTTTGTTTTTGTTTTGTTTTGTTTTGCTTTGCTTTTGTTTTTTTGAGGCAGGGTTTCTCTGTGGCTTTGGAGACTGTCCTGGAACTAGGTCTTGTAGACCAGGCTGGTCTTGAACTCAGAGAGACCCCCCTGCCTCTGCCTCTGCCTCCCGAGTGCTGGAATTAAAGGCATGTGCCACCTACGCCCTGCTTAAAATACAGCTTTTTAAGTGATATGAAGATGTCAGTTTATTTGATAGTGGTAATCTTTTTACTCTATTATGTATGCATGTATATGTGTACACACACACACACACACACACACACACACACATATATATATATATATATATATATGAGGAAAAAAGTATCAGTGAAAATATAACTCCATTCCTCATACCAAACCTAAGAGGGGGATTTCCAGAGTTAGCTTCTTATCACAGACAGTTAGTGTAACTCACATAATCTAAAGTGCATTCATGGCTGAGAAGGGCTTTATGCTACGGGAAGAGATAAAGCTAACCTAGTGGCACGTGCCACATCATCCCAGCACTGGGAAGGCACATGCAAGAAAAGACTGCGTTTGAGGCCAGCCTGGGCTACAAAGGAACCCATGACTACCAAGAGAAGTGTGGTGGGCACAGGGAGGGGAGCATGGACAAATGACATGACGAAGAGAAGATAAAAATTAATTTCTAGAAAAAAAATCCTATCTTGAACTAAAACACTGCAAATTCTATGAAGATAGAAGATTTTACTCATAAATCTGCAAGACTTTTTCCAGGATGCTGCACTCCCCATTTGTAAAGGCTTTGAGTGCAGTCAGAATGCTCGTGGACAGATAGTCCTTGAGCTCCAAGATGAGGCTGAGCGCTGCCATAGCAACGTCCTGTATGTCTAGATCATTGACCATAACCGCTGCTGCAGGAGCTCAAGTCTTCACCTGCTCACACTGGGTGTGGTAACCTGGGGCTACAGGTGGCCTGGCCAGGTAGGAAAGACTACCCTGCACCTCCATCAGGAGTGTAGGCAAGGGAGTGGCTTTCAAGAATGTCCTTCCAGAAACATATCTGCTACCCTCAGTCCAACTGTCCAGAGAGGTATGGTGCCACAGAGGGATGCGCATCCCCCAGGGTCGTTGTCAGCACCAACTCGGCATCTGGTCCCTTGCCCTTTTTTCAATTCCGGCCTCGTCTGGAGAATGTGGATTGGAGGCGGCTGGCTGCCATTGATGTGGACAAGGTGGTGGAAGCCACGGACATCCTGACGCTTCAGGAGAACATCATGAACATTACCTTCTGCAAGCTGGAGGACCAGAAGTGCCCGCATTGTCAGTTGGAGGTGGATCCACTGCTGTTGAAGCTCATTCACCTGGCTCAGCTCACCATTGAGTACCTAATGCATTCTCAGGAGTTCCTTACCTCACAGCTGAACACGGTGGAGGAACGGTTGCGCCTGAGGCTGAGTGACTGTGAGCAGAACAAACAGCTAGTCTCCAGGAAGTCTGAGGATATCAGACTACTCAAGCAGGAGTGTAGGTGCCGAAAGAAGATGTTGTCTGCCCAGCAGCTGATGATGGGCCAAGCCAAAGCCAGCCATCACCAGTGCCATTTTTGTGACAAAGCCTTTATGAACCAAGCTTTTCTACAGAGCCACATTCATCGCCGTCACCCTGCAGTTTCTTGTCTTGGGAGAAGTACAAAGGCACAGAATGACAAGCTCCAGAAGGAGATTGACATGTTGAAGGAGCAGCTGCAGTTCACCAACGCTCAGCTAGAGTCCTCCCAGCACACCCACACAGTCGGTATCTCCAAAGACTGTGAAGTGCTGAAAACAAATGAGAATTTTCAGAAGTTAGTTGACAGATGGGAGGAGGGAGAAAAGCAGAAACTGATCCATGAGATGAAAAAAGTCAAGGAGATGTTTATGAAGGAGTTTGAAGATTTAACTTTTAAGAATTCAACTTTAGAATATCAACTGTTGGAAATCCAGAAATCCAATATGCAGGGCAAGCTCAACATGGGCACCTGGAGAGACTCCTAGGTTTAAAGACAGACTTACGGTCACCAGTGGTTCCAAAATATGCTGTACCTCCTTGAGTGCAAGTAAGCCAATGGTGTCAGATGGACTCAAGTTCTCAACAGATAATGCAGCAAGGAGCAGGATCAGGTCTTTCTTAGGCAACCGCAGCTGCCATGATGTCTTGAAGGCAACAGCCCAGTCAAGTCCAGAGG